ACGAGTACTTATACTTGTGAAAATGCCCCGATACCAAGTGCAGATACCGGTGTTCTGTCAGGAACGCCAACGTAGTCGAATTTGCCGACCTCAGCATCTACGCTTGTGCACAGACCAATATTATCGAGGAAACGCATTTATTTACAAAGTTTTTTGTTTAAATCGTTATTTGTGACGATTAATAATATTCCATCCGTCATTTACTGCCATGGACGGCATATTATTACCGGTCTGCCAAGGACCTCCACAGAAACATCTGTCACTGCCTTCTCTTCCTCCAGCTCCCTGACATCGTGCTGCTCACCTGCGAAACCCTGGTGAGACACCATAGCCCATACAGCCCACCTGAGAGCCCGCACAGCCCACCACGCCACGTGGAGACATCAGTGCGTCAACACAGAACAACACAGAGTATGTAGCTTCATATTATTTTATATTGCTGGGATTTGTAGTCCTCTCTAGCTGGTCTCCTCACTCCCTTCCCTGGCTGCCTCTCCTCTATAGTCTTAAAAAAAAATTGCTGCGTGTGGCGCTAGAGTGTTCGGGTTTCACTTGAAGAAAAGGTGGCAACCCTAAATGCACCACATTCCAGATCTGGTCCGGAAAATGGTGTGAACCTGGCATAAAGCAGCAGTGGGCAAACTCTGGCTCTCCAGCACTGGTGAAACTACAAATCACATGATGCATCTGGCTCTGGGAATCACGCCTATGGCTGTGAAAATCTTGCAGTGCCTCATGGGACTTGTAGTTCCACAATAGCTGGAGGGTCGGAGTTTGCCCACCCCTGTCCTAAAGTGATACTGTCATGAGTGAAGTATAGAGGCTGCAACGCTAATTGCCTGGTTGTGTCTGGCTTTTGAGTCATAGACCCAGAAAAAGTGTTGAGTAAAAAGTGCCAGAATTAATTGGGGGAAATTTATCAAAACTGGAGCAGACAAAATCTGGAGTAGTTGCCCATAGTAACCAATCAGTGTCTGTCTTTCATTTTCAAAGCTTAACTGAACAAACTGAAGAGAGAAGCTGATTCGTTGCTATGGGTAATTGCTCCAGTTTTGTTAAATCTCCCCAATAATTTTGCGCTTGCAAATCTTCAGCAAGGCAGCAAGGAAAATAGCATTCTCAAAAAGGTACATTCAGTGGTGGCATCCTTCACAATTCTTACATAATCATAGTCCTTTTAGGGCCCATTCGCACCATGATTGGACCAGATCCAGACCAGAATGTTTTTTGTCTGGTCCAAAAATTCATCCCCATTCATTCCTATGGAAATAAATGAGGCCAGTTCACACCACTGGGTCCAGTTCCAGAACAAATACAAAAAGGTACGGCATGCACTACTTTTTTCTGGTCTGGAACACATCAAAACATATGCAACCGCACCAGAGCACACTAGAATTTCAATTGAGAAAAATGCACCGGTATGCATCAAAAACACATACCCGCTTTACCGCTTACCGATCAGGTCTGGAGATGGTATGAACAAGCCCTTGGGCCAGATCCAAGTTTCCATGTTGTGGTAATGCGTGTGCTGCCACAACGGGCGTTAACATTCATTACTGCTTAGTCGTGCCATTCATATTGGATAACACCCCACAGGACTTAGGCAACAGACCTGCGTTGTAGCACATGACAATGCACGGTAGTTCTGAGTAGAGTTGCCACCTGTCCAGGATTCACCCAGACAGTCCGGGTTTTAAATGCTGTGTCCGGGTTTCATGGCAGCAGAAACCCGGACACAAGATGTCAGGCAGACAGGGGCAACTAAAATTAAGATAGGGGCTACTGACCCACCACTAAAAATAGTCTCAACTGTGATATTTATATATGAATGGGTGGCCCTATTTACATAAGAATAAGCCACCACTCATTCTCCCAAAAAAATGTCAGCGCGTCGCTAGAGTGTTCGGGTTTCGCTTGAAAATAAAAAAGGTGGCAACCCTAGTTCTGAGCGTTACAAATAGAGTCATGTGCGTTCTAACATGAAGACAGAACAAAGCATTTCACAATTGTACCATGTATACCAGTCTGTGCGATATAGTGACTATTGGTCTTGTAACCTTTGAAAGAAAAAAGGTCACATGCCCCCCACAGGCCCCATGGCATCAATTTACACCACATGCGTTGGGCTGGCCGTTATTTCCAGCAAAGCCCCAACGCAAGACAAGGCAATTTGAATGGTCAGGGACAGGCTCGGTTCACACCACTGCGTTGCGATGGGAACGCGCTACCGTGCATTGAAAAAACGTGAGGCATGCTGTACTTTTTTTCTGCCCAGCGGGGTGCCCGTAGAAGTGAATAAAATGTCACTTGTGCCATTTCAATAAAGTTCTACCACAAAAAAAAGAAAAAAAAAGAAGAAGAAGTAGTACACAGTTTGAAGTGCTGGGATTGGTGCATCGGCATCGTATTGGGCAACGCATACCAGCCGCTGTGAATTGGCCTTTAGTGCGATTTGTCCTGTCTCGGCTGTCGCTCTGCACGACAATGGAAATCACATTATTTCTTATGGTATCTGTTCACATCGATGCAACATAGTGCAGTGTGATTTTTGGAAAGGTGCACATGCATCTTTTGGTGCTACACAGTGCATTTGTGGCCCCCATAGACTTCAATGGAAGCGCATGAAAGCCGCAAGCACTCGTTTTTGTGCTTAAAGTCCCCTCAAACTAAATCTATGCCTTATGTCACAGCAGATATTGCTAATTATTGGCCAAGAAAAGAACGCATGAAAATGCAAAAACAAAACCCATCAAAAACACGCTCTACAAAGAAAAAGGCACTAAAAATGCATAATCCTGCAGCAGCACTCATGGGAACCTAGACTCATTTCGAATAGGCTGCCTTCAAACAACACACATCAGTACACGGGTGGGCAACTCTGGCCCTCAAGCTGTGCTTCAACTACAAATCCCAAGATGCCTCTGGGCGTCATGCCTGTAACTGTCTTTCAATGCCTCATGGGACCTGTAGTTCCACAACAGCTGGAGGGCTGGAGTTGCCCACATGACATAACATGCGTTGCCCACCACAGAGAAGTAAATGGGCCAGTTAGGAGCACCTTGATTACTACCAGAGCCTGGGTGCTGTAATCCTGTTATCACACAAGTGTCAGCCCCACCGCTTATAGAGACGCAAGCTGAGCGCGTGATGTGTCACTGCACTCCCCTCCCACACACAGAAACCAGGCAAGTTTTCTCACCAGGATTTCTAAGAACCATCACCGAGCAATTACAATTTCAGATTAATACCACAAAAGCATTTAGCTCCATCACTGCCGCTGACAGCTCTTTGTGTATTGTTCCAACACAGCCCATCAATGCCTGCCAGGTACCGACTTTCCCAATGTAGTTACAGGAAAATGATGGCAATGTGGAGCTGTGCCAACGTTGGGCCATGCCAGAAAACATATTTGCATTGTCTATACAGAAAGGTCACTTTGTGCTGCAAAATGCCTTCTTAGACCAATCCCGGACAACAGGCCTATATTATTATTATTATTATTATTATTATTATTATTATTATTATTATTATTATTATTATTATTATACAGGATTCATACAGCGCAGACAGTTTACAAAGGGAGACTGAACAGTTACAAAACAGAACAAGACAAGAGGGTTAAGCTGGCCATACATAATCAGATTTTTATTGTTCAGCCCTAACAGATTCCTCCATCCATGCTAAACAGTGTAGATTGACAAATCGCCCACTCCGGCTATTGTATTCTGAGGGTTGGCACCCACCACTGTCATAATAGATGAACAGTGACTGTAGCTGTTTGGCTACAGTCACTGTTTGGTCAAAAATTTTCCATCCAACTTGAGTAATCGACTTTTGATGAGCCGCCAGGGGCACGCACTGTAAAGCTGGCCATACACCTATAGATTATCTGCAGATTTTCTGTGGTCAGATGGAAAAAGTGCAACAGATTCCTCTATCTACACTTAACTGTGTGGATGGAGGAATCTCCCACTGGGCCAAGCTTTAGAATCTTGCTAGTCGGCCCCGCTGGCTCTCAAAACACCTGAACACTGCCTGCATCCAATCAGATTGTTCAGGTATTTTGAGAGCCAGCGGGGCCGACTATCAAGATACTGAAGCTTGGGCCAGTTTAGTATAGATTTAGGAATCTGTTGCACTTTTTCCATCTATAGAAAGTCTGCAGATAATTAATCTATAGGTGTATGGCCAGCTTTAGGCTCACTATACACATGACAATCTGACCATACAATCTCTCAACTTTAGATTTATCAAAAAACTTTGTAATATGAGGACCTACCTAATATATTCCATCAATCTGTATCTGATTAGGCAAGCCCTTGCACTATATACTTGTTGGTAGATCTAAAAGGAAATTGCACAGATTGTAACACATGTGGTAAGCTTTAGAATTTTATCCAATTCAAAAGGAAATTCTAACAGTGTATGGCCAACCTTAGAAGGGCTTTTGCTCCTGAGAGCTTACAATCTAAAGAGGAGGGATAAGTGATCAAAAAGGTAATAGGAGTGAGATTATAGATGGGTATTGTGTATGGGTCTTTTGTCTATATCCTACACATGCAAAGAAACAAGATGTATCGGTTATCGGTTGCTTTAGCTGATGATTTACATTTGTATTTCAGCACTCAGAAAGCTTTGCAGAAGACAAATCTTGTTACAAGGATTAGTACTTGTCAGGTCTAGTTAACTGACTCAGGGCTATTAACCAACAACAAGCACGTGTGAATAATACACCCAACGCACCAATCAATCCATATCCCCCCACTACGATCTCACGACCAGCCCTTTCCAATTCAATGGACAGCACAGTTCCATCGTACATCAGATCAGCCCCCGGGCATTATTGTGTAGACTTCTATCCCAGCCAAACAAAGCGCAAGAGCTGCAATAGCCCAAAGCTCTGCAGTAATCCGGAGCTGGATGAATCAGGCACTCCGCAGGGCTGGGAGAGCAGGACGCAGGGCTAGCGGGATGAATGGAGCCAGAGACCCCCGTCTTACCTTGCAGGTTGTTGTCCTGTCCATAGGGGGGTGCGCCAGAATTGGGAGAGATCAGAGGGGAGCGCTCATCAATCCCATCAGCAGCCATGACTGCAGCAGCTGCAGCTCCAGCAGATGGGAGGGAAGGAAGCCTCTCACAATGTACATGTCACAGGGCTGGGAATCACAAGGAAGAGGGAGGGAGGAGACACAAGACGGCCTCCCACCTTGACCCTCATGGCTGGCCAAGCACACTGGGAATGAATTAAATGTGGGACATGATGTCGTAGTTGTCAGCTGTCTTCGAAGCCTTGTCCTTGAAATTAAAGTGCAATGACATTTAGAAGTGACGCGTCTCATTCCATCACATATCCTAAAAATAAGAGGATTATTCCTCATTTTAGGACCGTGGGCTGAGCTTTTTGATTGCTTCAGTCCCTTCCCACCATAACCTGTACAGTTATACTGTCTAGACGTGACAGAAGAAATTCTTTATTACATATCAGATACGAGGTTAGAGCCAGGTCAACCTCTGTAACGATGGCTGTTTCTTGTGCAACTTGCGGGGCATTTGTTTTGGGGGTATTGGTACATAGTTGGTCAGGAAGGACAGGGATGGTAGAGACAAATATAACAATGGTGGATGGCGGGGAGAGTTCCAACAATTCAAAAATCTGGGAGCGCCACCCAGAAATCTGACATCAGCAACCATTCAACTTTGTGTATATGGAACAGTTCCCACAAAAGACTACAGATATTTTGGTCATATAGAATAAGCGTATCAGTGTGCCAAGCGGTAGGCGGTGCAGGGCTCCTTACAAACTATGGTCTCTGTGACATAATAGATAATTTGTCACAGTTTGCAACTTTTTTGCGACAATTTTTCATATAATATTCCTGTTGCAATATCACACTCTGCACCACCAACAGTTTTTTGGGTTCATTACCTGGAGGACTAGCAGTCCCAGCATTCAACTTGAAGGAAGAACAACAGGCAGTGAACAATAACAAAAAATGTAAATGCCAACGTTCATGTAGCAGCATACTACAGGCACAGAACTACAACTCCCAGCAGATCTGATGTTCAAATAGCAGCATACAGCCGATATGGAACTACAACTCCCAGCATACAGCGAGGATCATACAAAAGATATGGCAATACATGTTCAGTCTCAGCATTCAACTAGCACCATACAAAAGATACGGCACTACAAGTCCCCGAGGTCCTGGCATTAAAAAAAGCAGCATACAGTAGAAACTGCACTACAAGTTCCAGCAGTCCCAGCATTCAAATAGAAGCATACAACAGATACGCCACTACAATTTCCAGCAGTCCCGGCATACTAATAGCAGCATATACGATGAGGAACTAGAAGTTTTAGCAGTCCTAGCATTCACATAGAATCATACAGAGGTTAGGGAACCACAAGTCCCAGCACTTACTCTTTGTGACAGTACAGCTGACCCAAGATCTATATGGGAGCTGTTATCAATGCAGTTTCCTAAATAGCGCAATTACCATTCTCTGCGATCTTCCTGACAGTTTATCATTGTTTTGGTATTGCCCGCCCCATCTATACTTAATAATGAAGTTTTAGAGTAGGCTCTACGGTATTAAGTGTCCATTGTCCCCTAAAACCCAATTGTGGTCTTTGATGAAAATATTGCCAAACAGGTATAGCTGCAGCTACGTTAAAGCCCATACCATGGCCAAACATTTCTTCTCTATGGTGGTATAGGTCACTTCCCTATCTAGTACCCTCTTGCTATGGAAGGCAATAGGATGCTTGTTCCTGTCCACATTTACCTGGCTGAGTGCAGATCCTTGTCCAACAGTCTTAATGATCAACCTTAGCTTGCAGTTTGGGGGCCTGCCATTATTAGGTCGATGATGAGGACTTCAGTTGTGTTTTTGTGGGCTGGTGTCCAGGTCACCATGTGTAGCATAGACTTCTTGGTGAGGGCCGTCAGTGACTCTTCAATGATATTAAAATATAATTGTAACAAATTTGTATTAGTAATTAACGGTAATTACAATAATATCAGTGCTCAGAAAATCCACAACTTGTTTCTTGATTTGGGGAGGGGGCCAGTACTTTAGCAGGTTCTTGGCTTAGCCTACCCCCTACCTCCTGCCCACCCAATCAGTGCCCTAAATTCTGCCTCTGAACTGTTCACAGCTGGCACCTATTGTGCTATATGGTCAGCTTGGTGTCTGCAATCTTACCTAAGATGATGTCTACATGACAGAAGCAATTCTTCCAAAATATGCTACAGATGGCAATGAGCACTCTGCTGCATCTTTTAAAAGAAAAAAAAAACGTGCAGGAATATAGTGCACCTAAACCACCTCACATTATACCCCTCACATTCCCTATCCCCATAGATAAAATAAAAGTTAGGCATACACCGGTTATTCCTATTATCCCATTATTAAAACTGTCATGCTGCTGGCTAATTTTACACTGTGATATCCCCTGCAGTATCTTAATACTTGTAGTAAACCCCAGCCTGTGTTCTTGACTCTAGAAAATTTGGTCCTATTTAAACTGCCCTACAGCTAGCCAATTTCACATTACTGTGTCATACAGGTAAGCATAAAAAAGTCATGGCAGTTGTGCCACAGCTGATCAACAGTTTACTGCCATTAGCTTTTACTCAGATCCAGACTTGAGGCATAACAGGCTCCTAATAAATGATCAAGTAGGTCATCAATGCAGGGCAAGAGGAAGCACTTCTAACAGTATGCTCACAGTCCACGCAGAACCTCATACTGCCATCCTTCTTGGGGAGAAGAATAACAGGTAAGGCCCACAGGCTGCTAGAGAGTTGAATGTTACCTAGTTGCAGCATTTCCTCTAATTCCACTCTTATGGCATATTGCAGCAATCTGGGGTTCCTGTTGAGTAGCTTGGGTCCCCAAGGTCTCTATTTAATGGGAGGCAAGTGCAGTCCACTAAGACATCCTTGTAATCTTCCTCAGCAAATACTATAAAAGGAGCAGTGGGTATAAAGTAGTGGTGGGGAAGAGGGGGTGTGTGGAGGCGAAGGAGGGCAGCTTCATACAGATATTGTCACTTTGCTCTGAATGGGTAAGTGGACAGTGTCTCTTTAACCCAGGAAAATATATCAAATTCCCTTGTGCTAAAGTAACAAAGATATGCTCACTCAAAGCTCCGAGCCGCCCAGCTGTCACGGCACTCCCTCCAGCCTGTCTCCCCCTCCCTGCAGCATTGTAAATCTTCCTCAGCATCCTCACGCCTATGCACTGTGTATAGACATTGATGATTTATGGGACCTTAGACTGCTGCAGAGGAGGGGGAGAGATGTTGGAAGGACCATCTAAGAAGAAGCCAGCTTTGGGTGAGTATAACTTTGCGAGCGGGGATAGCCCCACTGCAAGGGTTAATAAAATAAATTCCTGTAGTTCTTCTATAAATATTTCTGGCTATAAAAATTGCAGATGCAACATCTTGAAAAACATCCCTGATTAATATTACATTGGTAATGGTGGCTGAAAGGCTTCGATCATGGACACACGTTTTAAAAATAAAAAATACACGAGATCCCTGGATTCACAATTTCTTTTAAATTTAATGTGCAGCGCATTATCTTCATTACCTTCCTCCGTTTCTCCCCTCTTCCCATTTCCCTTTTCTTGTTCTCTTCTCTCCATACAATGTGCTGTGATGAGCCCAACAGCATTGTAAGATCCATAGTACCTTAGGAAACAGAAACAGGCTTTGAAATTGGAATGCTATCCTCTGTTACCTGACATTATTACAGCAAGCCATATCTTTGTTTTGCTAATCCCTTTCATTAAACTTCAATAAAAGTATATGAAATAAAAAAAGACTGGATGATCTTCCTGCAACTAATCATTTCTAAACTTACTATAATTACTGAAGGCTAATACAGCAATATTCTCATCTAGTTAAATTGATCCAGCTGTCCTTAGGAGGACGGGAGGGATAT